AACAAATAAAACTTTCCCAACCTGATTTGAATGAGCTACTGCATGGGATGAATTCTACACACATATGTGGGTAGTTTTTTTCACACACACCAGTTGCGGTTATGTGAAAAATACACAGGGGAAAAGATTAGAACTTCATATTATAACGACAGACAGTTTTAGACTTAGGTAAAAACGGAAAAGTTTTGACCTTCAGATCAGAAGTGCACTTACTTAATCAACAAGCTTCCCCCCACCCTGGCAACAGATCACAGCTACTGGTACCCCAGTACAATTATCATATCACAAAGCTTGAGTCTTTTTGATTTGGAATGTCAAACGGCAGGGAGCCCAGTCAAATCAATCTTGGTTAGAGAGTATTGTTTGACAAATTACAGTGTTACCGACATGATTTGGTCACGTTTATTTCGCCACCACATAGTTATAGCAATCGTCAGACAAGTTACAGCACTACAGACACAGTCTGTTCATCTCTATTTTGTTACCACATCGTTACAGTAATTCTCTTTAGTTTTAGTAAGGATTTTACGGCGCTTGCAACTGCATAAGGTCATATGAGCGTCAAGGGGTTGTCATCAAGTCCACAAGGGGAATCAGGTTTACTCTGCTCACCTCTCTAGCCTCAACGGCACAAAGTCTTCTTCGACTATCAAGGCACCCCAGAAATAGCAAGCAGTTCACAAGAGAGTGATAAACATACAAAAGAAGTAGAGGAAAAAATGACGATAGTAAGGATGAGGAAAGAAAAAGCAGCAGTTCCCCCTATGTTGTTCCGGCACAATATGAGTATGACATGGATAAATCAGCCCATTTACATTTCTACTGAGCATAAGAACATGTTAATATCCCCCCTTTGGGAATTACCTAAACACACGTCAGTCAGTAGCACTGCCCTGGTGGGGGTAGTAATTGTCTGACAATATACAGGGCTATTGGCACAATGAGGTCATATTTAATGTATCATGAGTTGTAAACCTCGAGTCTAAGTACACAGGATTTCCACCAACACCATACGGGTCACGCTATGCAACAGGAAAAAAATCTGAGAAACAGAACAAAGCTATAGGAGAGAAATAACTCTACTTAGATTTATCTAGACCACCAATCTTATCCAGATATCTGTGATGAAAGGAATGTTTCAGAAGATTCTCGTTTACATTTAATTTGTGTTGAGAGAAATGCTCAAGAAGACTTTCGTTCACACTTGTGATGAGACAAATGTTCAACTGTTATTTTCAGAAACACTTCTGCAAAAACTTCTATACCAGAGGAGGGTTGGAAGGGGAGGAGGTGTTAGAGGGTGACACAAATGATTTCCATTATTTTCTACATTTGTCCGACTTTATACAGGTTTAGAATCCACCCTCCAAAACGGCAACCAATTTAAGAAAACTCTTGATGCCGTCATAACCAAAATGATAGCAGAATAACTGGGGCACCCCCTCCCCCACCCTCCCGTAATAAAAAACATGATCCATTATTAACTGTATACAGGCAAGGACATCAAATCTTTGGGTTTGAGAGAGAAAAAACCCAACAGCAAGTTGCAAACCCTCAAATCCTCAGCAAGCTACGATAATGGCAAACTCAGAATTTGGCAAAAAATCTGGCTGACATGTTTTCATTCCTTACAATACAATGTGCTCTACACCTCCATATGAAACTAAAGAAAAGGCGCAAACAAATTCCAAAATTACATGTAAAAAAATGTTTTTATAATCAATGGCCCCAGTAAAGAAAAGACATAAAATTACGTCATTTTGTGTTTCGACAAACTCAAACCTACATAAATGACCATAGATCTAATGGTAGCATGTGAACCGTAGCACTTCATTAAAACAACAATAATAATCCGGACATTATAACAGTCAGAAAAGAAAATATCATTACCAAACGGAACACTTCTACACGCTAATATTCTGGTTGGCAATAATATACCAGAGAGTAAGTGTTGAGTAAAAGCTTCTGTAAGCAGAGACAGACACCTCTTTGCTGGAATATTCGTCATTTTTGGGTTTTTTAAACTCCATTTTCATTACTGTAAGGTCATCTGAGGAGATGGACCTCCAAATTCATCGTCCACTTCCAATAAGACCAAACTAAACAGTTTGTTAAAAACTCTAAAAAAAACAACAACAAAAAACCAACCTCCAGTTTAAAAACAACTCATCGGGGATTTGAAACAGGACAAATATTGCCACAGCTTAGCATGATAATGATTAAGCTCACTACTCCTCCCCCCCTCCCTTCCCCAAAGCCAAAAATAGGTAAAATGATCTTCCTTTACTGTGATAAGAACTGACGGGACCTCTCATAACTTATGGCGAGCAATGAGTGATAAACCTTGATGACAAACGGCAATGATCTCTTTTTAGTTTGATGAAGCATGCCATTTTCACTTATCCAATTATGTGAGTACAGGTCCCAAAACCAAATAGGCCTACAGTGAAACCTCAACAAAGCTGGCTCCAGAATATAGCATCATTAGCTTACCCTAAAATAAATATCCCAGATATACAACATAACCTTCACTACAATGTAAATAAATATCCCAGTATATATATATTCAGTATAACACGGATAGGTCGAACACATAAAACTCGAAATCACACATCCACCCAACGTTGTCTGTGGTCCCCTTTATTTCCTTCTTTATCTTTGTAAGATATTCCTTGAACTCCAGATCCCTCGAACTACCAAGGCTGGTCCTGATGAATTCCAGCTATCCGTGTTATACTGTATATAGCATTCCCCCTTGCTACAACGTAAACAAAGAAAAATCTTCCTTTGATCACTCCTCTATGTAACTTATCACAGCTTTAAAGAACACATGACTTTCTCACAAAGAATACTCATGGCTTACATCGTAGCAAATTTCTGCATTAAAGTAATGATCCCTTACTGGCAATTTGACCACATGGAACAAATGACATCTTCCTGTGGACTACAAATCCTTTACTGGCAATTTGACTACAAATGGAATAAATTATATCTTTTTCAAAATGACAAATTCTGTCCTGGCAATTCTGGATCCATAACGACAACAACAACCTGGATCATTATACTGACAATTTGACTACAAATGGAATACATCACATCTTTCTGTAAAGTACAAATCCTTTACAGGCAATTTGACTAAGGGGAACAAATTAAATCTTCCTGTAAATTACAAATCCTGTACTGGCAATTTGACTATGTGGAATAAATTACATCTTCCTCAGAATGACACTTCCTATACTGGCAATTTAACTAAGGGGAACAAATCAAATCTCTCTGTAAATTACAAATCCTGCACTGGCAATATAACTATGAATGTTATAAGCACACGATCACACCAACATCTGAGCATGAAAGAAATGTCTACGATAAGATTAATGTGATATTATAATATTGCACTTGCCTCAGTTTGAGTAGACATGTATATATACATATTGTATATATATAAATAATTATATATAGAAGAGCAGTCTAATGGTAAAGGTTTAAGTGGATCTTGGATGGTACAATATAGTAAATAGGTGCATACTTCCCAACATTTATTAATTAAAGCTTTCCGTTTCACTTAATGCGGTTGAGCTTCAGTTCCTACAGTCCCTCCACCCGCAGTTATTCATTGTTCATGTTTTATGCTCCTTTCAACAAAATTTAGACCATGTATGAGTGGGCTGCTCTGACACAGCCTCTCATGGACAACTCTGGCAGAGTGGAACAAAACATTCCAGCACACGCTGGTTCTAGCAATCGTCAATTCAAGAATGGGCAGATAGCCAGCATTTGAAGCGCTGGACCACAAGTGTCTTCTGCTATGGCCAAAAGTTCTGTAGAACAGACACAATTATCACTACACAGGCCAAAAGTTCTTTAGAACAAACACAGTAATCACTACAGAGGCCAAAAGTTCTGTAGAACAGACACAGTTCTCACTATACAGATCAAATCTCACAGCGCAAACCCCTGTCTTCACTAATCCAACATCATTAAGTCTTTGCGTCAGTCTTCACAAATGCAGTAAAAGTATTGTGTGGGGGTGAAATGCAGTAAAGGTAAAGCCATAAAATGAAAAATATAAAATATAACAAATACAATAAACCATGCACGTGATGTGTAGTTTCATCAAACGCCCTCAGTTGGCACACAGTCACACAACTCATAGCTATTGATTGAACAAGTCCATAAATCCCCTGTCTTCTCCACGTTCTCTAAATGCATCAAGCACTCACTTGCAAAAATTACAAAGCACCAGAAGAAAGAAAACTGCGTCATCATAGACCTTTGGTCAAACAGAGATCCAACACACTACAAGATGGGACAACTTTCCACAGAGAGCTTCCTGAAACAATCGAAGATACATCACTCACTAAAATTACTATTAGTATTAGACACAGTGCAAATATTACCATCTGCATTTTTGAGGATATTCATGAGTGTCTCAAACAGAGGACTCTTGCACTGTAATAAAGGATGAGTGTCTCAAACAGAGGACTCTTGCACTGTAATAAAGGATGAGTGTCTCAAACAGAGGACTCTTGCACTGTAATAAAGGATGAGTGTCTCAAACAGAGGACTCTTGCACTGTAATAAAGGATGAGCGTCTCAAACAGAGGACTCTTGCACTGTAATAAAAAATGAGCGTCTCAAACAGAGGACTCTTGCACTGTAATAAAGGATGACTGTCTCAAACAGAGGACTCTTGCACAGTAATAAAGGATGAGTGTCTCAAACAGAGGACTCTTGCACTGTAATAAAGGATCTTTGCTTTGGTATAGATCTAGCGGTACTGACGAAACATAAGTATTGTGTTAGCTATCTACAAACAGTAAATGGTGCCCATCATAGAGTAACAGTAGATATTTCACCCCCCCCCTCCCCCACCCCTCCTCCATCGACACAATTTAGATCATCAAAGAGGCAGGCTGCAGTAATGCTGACTGTCAGGACCAACCCTGGATGGATAGGATATAACATCCCAGCAGACACACAGATATACATATATACTTTAAAACACACATTTCCCAGGCAGGAATCAAACTCAGATCATCTGTGAGCAATAGCAAAGAGCCTAACTATTACACCACAGATAGTGATAAAGGTGGCCACAGAAAGGTGGCGGAGGGGGGGGGGGGGGGCGGATCTCGAAGATCGCAAACAGATAAACATTTGAGACAATTTCTACAGCTGTCTTGCTATGGGATGGATGGAGAGCAGTCTACCCACCCTTTCCATTAGAACAAATTTTGTGAAGGAACAACAGATGGATCCAATGACCTGAGGTGACGTTATGTAAAGCTCCTACCCTTCACAGCCGCAATACAGACAGATGAGACAGACAATAATATAACATACGTCATATAATATAACCAAACTTGTAGCATATCCTGACCCTAGAACAACAACATTCTAGCTGGGAATGTTAAGAGTTAGAAGTTTTACTTTTAGTAAGAGTTTTACGGCATTTGAAAAACACAATAAGGTCATATAAGTGCCGAAGATTAGAGGTGTTACAAGAGAGTAACAAAACAAACACAAAAAAGGAGGTGAGATTAGGACGACAGATACCAGAGCACCCGCCAACCACCTGAGTTTGGAGCTGGTGTGTCTGGAGGCTCCCCCTGTGCTCCCGCTACATCACAGGTAAAAGTTACAAACCCTACCTCTTAATTTTCTGAGATAAAACCATGTTCTATTTGTTCTTCCTGCGCTTTTAATTGAGGGAGATATAGGGTGAGAAAAATTTCAAACAGTGATTTAGATATTATCTTGTTAGCAAGAACTTTCAAGTCCAACATCTCAAAAGAGACAGTGATTTAGATATTACATGTATCTTGTTAGTAAGAACTTTCAAGTCCAATATCTCAAAAGAGACAGGGATCAATGAAGATAGTATCTTGTTCTTCTGGGGCCGTGGTATGACAAAATGACGGAAGCAGGGACATCCATTGAAACAATATAAAATTAAAATAAAATCTTCATTTATTTATGATGACCCAAGCTTTTTACACATATTCTATCATGCCATGGGCAGTTGCTCTTTCATTGATAAAGTCATTTTAAAAAATGCATTGTCAGCCTATAATGTGATTTCAAACAGAGCGGGCACATACATAAGACAATATACTGCCGTGTATCGGCATAAAATATCCTTCTGTCATTGATATTCATTTCACTGTACCAGTTTTGTTTCATGATTTCAGACAAATGAATATTTTAAAAAACCCACCCAAAAATGGGGCACATATGTGTATCATAAAGCACCTGCCATCTCTCATCAATAAAATCATCATATAAATGTATCATCAGCTTGTATCATGACTTCACACAAATGAACATGGGGCACAAGTGTGGATCACAAAATAGTGTCCAACCGGGAATGGAAGTGGTAATGAGAAGGGGGGGGGGTGGATTGGGGAAGGGGGGAGGGGTACATAAGGCAATTTGTACACAAAAAAAAGATGAGATGAAGTAAAACTGAGATCCATTACGCTTGGCCCACACAGACCACGGAACAGGAGCACACAGTAGACGCTGGAGGTGACAGTGTTGTTGCCACGTTGCAGCACTCTCTGTCTTCACTTTTCCTCTTCCTCCTCTTCCTCTTTCTCTCTCTATTATCTCTCCCCTCTTCTACAGCGGCATTGTTACATGGGCATCAGTGTCAAGCGAGTCTGAAAAGAAAATAGACAACATGATAATAATGATAGTAATGATGATGATAATGTAATAATAATAATAATAATAATGATAATGATGATGATGATGATGATGATGTGTAAATAATAATAATAATAATAATAAAAATGATGATGATGATGATGATGATGATGATGATGATTAATAGTCTATTGCACTCCCACTGTGTAAATGCTCAAGTGCTGTACAACAAAGAACACATGAACAAAGACACTTGTTTATCAACAGCAATAACAAATGAATAAACATCCTCTCTCTCTCTCTCTGTGTCTCTCTCTCTCTCTCTCTCTCTCTCTCTCTCTCTCTCTCTCTTTTCTTTTCCCCCCATCCTCCCCTCTCTTTCTTCTCTTCCCTCTCTCATACACATGAGGAAGTGTTGTTTTTTTTTAAAGTCAAGTATCTATCTGTCCGCTGGGATGTCGTTTCCCTCTCTGCCTATGTTGGCCCTCACATGTAGGGTTGAAGCAGTCCACCTCCTTCGGCGCTTGTCAAAATAACGAGAAAAAAAATCCGGACATTTTTCCACTTGTTGGGCAATTTTCATTAATTTTTTGGGAGGCTCAACACCTTTCATGTCCATTTAAAACACATTTCTGCGTAAACTTTACTGAAATCCATTGATCAAAGGTGACCCAAAAATATGTAAATTTGTAGTCTCCAAGGACACTACAGCTTTGGCAGTCACCACATTCTGATGGCCATTTTCTTCCAAGATATTAGCCTACCTGCATCACCTTCAATCGCAAATATCCCAAATTCAATTCAAGATAAATAAGTTGTTGTTTTGTTCATCAAAAGCAAGGCAAACGAATTTGCTTTATGATTATACCAATAGTCCTATATACTCAAAATCTAACAAGTGCCTGAATCCACCGTGTCATGACACATATATGGAAAAAAAAATCATCATGTCTTACTCCATCGTTATCATCCAGCCTCAACATGATGTCATCATCACTGAGGTTGAGACTGTCGTCGGAGTTGTTCCTGGGTATGAGCATCGGCTCATCTGACTGTCGCAGGACGCTGGTCGCCCGCATGCGTAGCCTTGAACTCAGCGAGCGTGACCGCGGATCCTCCTCACTCTCGTCTTGTACAATCTCTGTCTGTTGCTTAACGAAATTGATAAACACCTGGAAGAGAAGAAAAACCAGAAATAAAATATCAAGTAAGTAAGTTTATTCAGTGATTAAGGCCATTGGCGCACATCACATCATATAAAACACTCATTTGTTATTAAATAAAATTTCCATAAGGAAAAAGTACAGGTTGTTTACATATCTCTTATCATGGGGTGAAACATCTTTGTCATTTTTACTCTTTTGTAACACCTCTAATCTTCAGCACTTGTATGACCTAATTGTGTTGCAAGCGCCGTAAAACCCTGGCTAAAACAACAAGAGGCACTCACATTGTCCAGCGTGTTCTGGCTGACGCTGTAGTCCTCTATGCTCAGGTTTCTCTCTGCCTCTTCCAGTTTTGAGAACAGCTGGGCCACAGACACTGGCCGGCTCTTCAGCTCGTACTGGACGATGTTGTAGTGTTGCTCCTAGGGACAGATGGTGAAACACACTTACAGTTACACAAAGATAGACATATAGTTACACAAGAATTTTTGTTCATTTTCGTAAGAGTTTTATGGCACTTGCAACACAATAAGGTGATATAAGTGCCTAAGATTAGAGGTGTTACAAGAGAGTAACAAACACACAAAACAAGGAGGGGAGATAAGGACGATAGATGTTTGATAGGAAAGAAGGAGAAAACCACACCTTAGCACCCTCCAACCACCTGCTTACACAAGGATGTACATACAGTTACACACAGAAGGACACACAAGAAGACAAACAGCTTAGAGAACAGCTGGGCCACAGACACGGGCCGGCTCTTTAGCTCATACTGGACAATGTTGTAGTGTTGCTCCTGGGGACAGATGGAGAAACACACTTACAGTTACGCACAGATGGACACACAGTTTTTTGTTTTAGTAAGAGTTTTACGGCACTTGTGACACAATAAAGTCATAAAAGTGCCGAAGATTAGAGGTGTTACAAGGGAGTAACAAACATAAAAAAGAAGGAGGGGAGATAGAGAAGATAGATATTTTATAGGAAAGAAGGAGTAAACCACACTAGAGCACCCGCCAACCACCCACGGACATAGTTACACACAGAAGGACACACAGTTACACAAGGATGGACACACAGTTACACACAAAAGGACACACAGTTACACAAGGATGGACACACACAGTAACACACAGAAGGACACACAAATAGACACACAGTTACACACAGAAGGACACACAAGTAGACACACAGCTTCGAGAACAGCTGGGCCACAGACACGGACCGGCTCTTTAGCTCGTACTGGATGATGTTGTAGTGTTGCTCCTAGGGAGAGATACTGTGAAACACACTTACAGTTACACACAGATGGACACATAATTACACATAGATAGACACACACACAGTTATACAAGGATGGACACTCAGAAGAGCACACAATTAGACACGCAGCATGGAGAACAGAAAGACGCACAAGCAGATAGCAACACATGAATGGACACACAATTTACATATGGATGGAACAACAGCAACAACAACAGCAACAACAGCAACAGCAACAACAACAACAACCCCCCCCCCCCCGACACACACATAAGGAAAAGACTCACTTTGAGCGTAGCCTGGGGAATGTTCCGGTTCACAAATCTCAGCACCTCTGTGGCGGCCTGCTGGTAGTTGGGTCCCCTCACGCGTATGGTGAAGGTGTATCCGTCGCCGTAGCGGTTCTTGAGGTGCGTGGCACTGCCCAGACACTTGAATGTTCCGTTCACCATGATGGCCATACGAGAACATAGGGCCTCACACTCCTCCATGCTGGTGAAAGAAATGGTGAAATGGTAGACAGGTTTTTTTCTTTTCTTTCTTTTTTTTTTTTTTGGTAAGTGTTTTACGGCGCTCACAAGTACATAAGGTCATATGAGCGCGCAGGACACATGGAACATTTTTAGTTGGAAGGAAATTTTGAACTTTGCCTGGGAGGCGGCCAAAGCCTACTCGTATCGATTTTGGACCATCAAGGGATCTTTAAAGAGCGCAACTTGCACATGGGACCTCCGAGATTTTTTGCCCTTATCAGAAAAGGCTGTGTGTAGATCTTTTCAACCATAAAATCAGGGGTGTGGCTGAAAGACAGTAGTAAGAAGGAGCCAAGGAGTAGCAGTAGAAAGGCTGCAGAAAGAGTCAGGGGCCCAGAGGAGGGGGTAAAGGAGGTGAGGGGGTGGGGGCAGAAAGTGGAGATGAAATCAGACGACAGAATATTGTTAAAGAGCAGGAAAGGAAGTGAAAGGAGATAATTTCAGAGCAGAAAATTTTCTGTCGGATTGAATTAGACGCAAACACCTTAACCTCTAGGCCATGACAGCCTCCTGTATAAAGGTTTGACGCCCCTGCCAACACTATTAGGTTATTTAAAATGGAGGCAGGACATCCGAGTTTAACCTCCATCTCCGAAAAGAGCGAGCCATACGGTACATTTGTGTAAAATGACTTTTCCAAGGACAATAACTTCAGACTGAGCTCAGGCTCGTTCCCCCCCCCCCAAACTGCAATCTCACATTTACGTACCCGTTCTGTAGCCTAACCACTAGGCTACCAACGTCACTTTCATGCTGGAATAGCATATCATCAGTAAAACGATACTGACATTTGATTTCTCTCACACTCACCAATGCTGGAATACAATAGTAAATAAATGATAAAACATTTGATTTCTTTCCCATCCCTCCCAGCTGTTTGTTACTCCCTTATACAAATTTCTAATCTTCAGCGCTTATATGACCTAATCGTGTTGCAAGTGCCTTGAAACTTTATAAAAACTAAAACTACCTCAAACAACATTCTTTTTTTTCCTCGTAAGAGTTTTACAGCACGTGCAACACAATAAGATCATATAAGTGCCGAAGAATAGACTATGTGTTACAAGAGAGTAACATACACAAAAAAGAAGGAGGAGAGATAAGGACGATGGACGTTTGATAGGAAAGAAAGAGCAAACCACACCCGAGCACCCACCAACCACCCACACACAACATTCAGAGAAGAAGATTTATACCAACGAGACGATTCTACTTTTGTGCTTTACAGGCACACCCCAGGGCTATCCCAGGTCCCCCAACTACTGACCTGTGTGATGTGAGGATGACCGAGCGCCCGTCTTGCACCAGGCTAAGAATTAAGTCCCACAGGAATCGGCGAGAATGAGGGTCCATGCCCGTGGTTGGCTCATCCTGGGGGGAAAAAAAAAATGTGAGATGCTGTGGGAAAGTCAGTTGGATGTCTCTAGTTCTGGAGCTGAGATGTCTTTGAACAAAGAAAAAAAATCAATTTTTCATGGAAAATGGGGGTCCATGCCTGTGGTTGGCTCATCCT